ACAAGATATCCGGAAACAACCACATAAAGAGATCGTTCACATAATGCGATAGTTCACAACGCTGCTACTATAGACAAGTATTTAACTCAGTTGGGACTCAGATGGAAAAACTATGACACCACTTTATTTTCATATAATGGATATTCCAATAGTATCTGGGATGCAAAAAGAGTGAATCTAAGACAAGCGTATTGGGCTGCAGTATTCAGAAGTTTTTGCGGCAACTTCTGTCGTCCGTTTTCACTTTTCAACTCCTATTTCTTCACTTGTGGACTTAAAGCCGCCATAGTTTACAAGGTAAAGCACTTCTGAACTGGTTTACAGTATGTCACTTCATCACACATTATGGCATAAATGAGGAAACAAAAGAACTTCTATCAAAATTAGGAAGGCAAGGTTGTAAGAAGATACTTGAAATGAAATTTGCAAATTTATTTACTTGCAGGGAAATTGAAGTTGAACTAAAGATCGTGAACTTAGAACAAAGTAGCACTGTTTGGACAAAAGCCATTAGTCGCTGGATCTTGAGGGTTGTCAATTTTGAGGCATATAATCATCCGATCCAATGTTAGAATTTTCCACGAAGATCGCAGTGGGAGGTATGATGCTCATCTGATCCCGCGACCTAGCATAGCCTACATTTATACACGCGATATGGACAAGTGGAAGCTTGAGTCACTCAGTGATTAACAGAACGATTGGTGGTTATTGATATTCCAAGAAGCTGCCAATAGGTTGTTACAAGCTGGTATTTTTAAAAGCAAACCTAATTTACTTACCTGTTTTGCTGTGTTGATAGGCTAAGAAGACGTTGCTACAGAAAAGTTTTCTTGTAGCCAACGTTTCGACTCCTTCAGTTTTCTCTCAGCCGTAGTGATTCGAGCTATGTAATTTGTCAGCGAATCACTTTTGCGAAAAGCTCGTCACCGCATCCGGATATCCAACAAAGATTTAGCCTTTCTAAGGCTCTCTCCAATAATGTACGCTAGCTCTTCTTCTCGCTAAATTTACTCTAAAGTTTAGATATTGAGCAAAATGTGTGGTACTTCTGACGTACTTCTGCAGATGGAAATTACTGTACATCCAGGTTCGCCGTGCAATAAGTACGAATGGGAACTATATGGCGCTTTCTGGGCTGAGTTTATGAAGAACAAGATTACAAGTTTTACAGTTGACATAAGTGAATATTAGTTTCACCCACATTAATTATCGCTATTGGTGATCAAGTGCATATCGGGCTTTCAGTGCTGTTATCTTTCTAAACAGCTTTGGCACATTGAAAGGCTTGGTGAGCCTGAAGCTCGGGATTGAGCCAGCCACCATTTGCTGCTGTATGTCATTTCTAGCCATAAAGAGCTTTGATGATTGGAACAAAAACCACTAGAATCTGAGGATTTTTACTGTTAAATTCAAGGCGTTTTATCCTACCGGGGCCAAAGAGGGAATAAACAAGAAAGATTACTTCTAGTGTGACACGATGGTGTTGTCTAAGGTACTTTAGTTATTTGTTGCTGACAAACTTACGTTGAGAAGTTAAGAAAAATTGAATCACCTTTCATAATAACTCCGATATGCTTTGGCTCTGTGTGTTCAAGCTTGATTTTAACGAAGTTACATGCATGTAAAGGAGATAAGTGTGACGCTAGCTAGAGGTGTTTTGGGATACGCACAAGGTCGATGGTTTGATTCCGCATTCAAGACTCAATGAGCCTTCCTTCTCTCCGAAGTTGGCGGATTGATACGAGATTTCTTTGGTAGAATAGTAACACTAACTTGACACATCAGCAGGTTACCGCGAGATCTTGTAAGAACCAGATATACTTTTAGTCATTCAAGCGCGCTTAATGAAGTTAAATTCATAGCGCATTTTTCGAGGATCAACCTTTTGAGAACCAGCGTTGATAGGCAGGTGACGTCGCGCTATCGCTTCCCCAACGCACGCAACGCCATCATCACAGCAGCTGAGTGAGATTTGATGTCATGCGGTGAGAAGCCAAGTGACTCTCATGGTCCTCAAAGGGATAACACATAAGGTACGGCAGGCCCACGGCAGTGGCCTCGCCGCGTTCCGCGTACGGAGGTTTAGCGGCGAGCAGTTCGCACTGGCGAGTGCTTTGAGCTGCCCTGCATTGAGAAAAACGATTTTGCTTTGAACCCCTACCACGACGCTTCACTGTAATCTTTTTTTTTGGTGTTGTCTTTTTGTTTTCGGTACAGTGTGCTCAAATGAATGCTTAGTATATACTGAAAACAAATTATAACACCAAAAAAGCTAAAGTGAAGCTTCATAGTGGGGATCGAAACAGCAACCTTCTTCCCACGAATCACTTGTCTTTGCAGACTGCTCGCCGCCGAGTCGTCGTGCGCGTGACAGAGCGGGGCTAGAGCCGTGATCTGTCGTATCCAATGTGTCAATCAGCGCCGAAAGCAGTATCGTTTTATCCTCTATATATATGTACTGGACGGTAGAGTATAATGTTCTATGTATAGTATTTAATGATAAAGTATTCTCTGGCGTGTAGAACGGCATCTTTAATCTTCGATCACCGACGTAAGTCAAAACTTAGGATCCCTTTTGTAATTTGCGAGATACATGGCACCTCCTAGCATTGACTTTTTGACTGCGCGTTTAATAACGCCGCGTGATCTTCCATTTTGGTCACGTAGTGGCAAGCTTTCTGAAGCATAAGTTGAAGGAGGAATAAACATTGAGGCGAAAAGGTGAGCAAGGAGTCGAATGTTTTTCGTTCTCTTCGCCATATCCTCGATGCTTGGAATACTATTGACATAAAAAGTATGACGTGAAGACAAGAGCAGGGCCACCTGCTATTCAGTACATCAACGTTGGCCTTTACTGTGATTTCTTTCAACCACACTTTGACTCTATCGGTACCATCACCAATCGTCCGTCAACGCGATTCATCATTAAAGCACAAGTCGACAATGAGTTCACTTAAGTTGAAGAAATCTTCGGAATCATTGAGTCGTAGCTTTTTATTTGCTGCCGGAAGCGGGTTCAAAATTCAGTCATATCTCGGAATTATTGTGGTTGCATTTCACGCCGTATTATACCATAAAAACATCTGGTGGTGAATAAGCGTTGGAAAACAATGACATCAATTGATAGTTGAACAGGAACATGGAACAATTTAGCTTGGAATATTATAAAACGTGCTAAAGAATGATATATCTCATGCAAACCAACTTGAGGTAAAACAGGAAGTTGGAGACTGAATATACTGGCGAAATTTCAGTGAAAGCAAGTCTATAAACTTCAAGTGGATGGTATAATGATAGGTATCTAGTTATGGACATGAAGCCATAATCAAGTTATTTGCAGACGATCACATTCTTCAGAGTATTTCACACTGCTATACTATGTCATGTATTCAATCATCATCTGAGTGATTACAACGTGTCATCGGTGGATGGACGAGTTTATGCGTTCAATGAGCCCGCTCTGGTTGTCACTGCAAGTAAGCGAAAGAAGAAGAATTTGTCATCTTAGATGAACAAGTTGTGCAACCGTTTGCTACCGACAGCGGGCCAGGAGACTCGAACTATTCGAGTTAATCATGGAATTAGCACCAGTATTGGTTGTGCTATTATTCAGGAATAAAGAGAGAGAATTCGTGTGATGTTTAATTGAACTCAATTCAGTACCATCGAATTTCGAAGAGCACTGAATCTTCGAAAATACAACTTTGTTGCGAACAATCGATTCAAATTGAATGGTTAAAAAATTACACACATGGCCGAAATATCTTATTTTTTTCAACTCAGTTAAGCATCGTGAAGAAGATGGAATGCATATCTTATGTATAGCACGACTGTGGTGGCTCATCGGTATAGCTAATGAACAATGATATTCTTTTACTACGGTTCCAGGCAAGTGTGCTACCAACTTGACGATTCCAAAAGGAAGAAAGGCTTCCTGAGTAGAGAGCACGGGACTGAAACAGCAAGCATGAAAGAGCAAGCGTGTATGCTTTGTACCTAAAGCCACTGCACTGCAAGCTCTTCTTTATTATAAGGTACAAACGAAAAAAAAATGATTGGTATGAGGATAACAGTTGAAATGTGTAAGAATGTGGGAATGTAGAAGTGGCACAATAGTTACATGAGACACAAGGAAGACTGATCAAGTCCGTCAATGGTCTTACTTTCGGAGACGTCGCTTATCAAACTTATCTTGTACTAGATGTACGTTTCGACTCTTATGTAAAGCCTCATCAGTAGCACATGCCTATCGGTTCAAGCAAGCTCCTAAAAAAAGTCAAATAGAAAGGTATCGCTATTTTTGTTCTACCAGCCATCAAGCAATCGACTTATACTGGAGTCTAAATTGATCTTTTCGCCGGGCGTGCAGTGTAAGACATTCGGCGCTGATTCCCTTATAAGCAAAGGCTTGGTTATGCCGAAAGGCATGTGCTACTTATGATGCTTGACATGAATGCCGAAACGTACGTCTAGCACTTCAACTGCCATATCAGACCTCTGAAAAGCCTGAAATATGCTGCCGGGGCTGTCAGGGAGAGGAAAATAAATTTTAAGTGAGGTCTCAAAAAAGTTGTGGAATAAAAAGGTTGTGCTGTATTGCTCAGATGTTATGATCCAATATGTTCACATATCATGTTATGAACAACTTATTTGGTTGTAGAACCGGTTGAACTTCTTAGCAAGACTTTTGCTCTTGCAGTTCTAAAAACGTTTCATTTGACAAAATTGTTGAAGTAATAAATCTATCAAACCCAAAGAAGGAGTAGACTGCATGTCAGGTGACTCTTTCACCTCTGAAGAAGGTGAAACCGCCGAAAGATAAGCCACTGCAACTGCATATATTGTAGTGAATGAAAAGTTCGTTAGTTCGTAGATTGTTGAGTCTGCTTTAATAGGTAAAAACGGAAGAATGATGAAAAAAGAATGGATAATAATGAATAGCCTTTCTGTTGCTGTTAGATTGATAGCTTGTTTAACAGGAGAAATGATAGCAAACTAGGAGCCTGATAGTGCAATAGGTTAGCACGCGACCCTGGAAAGGATGAGATGAGGGTTAAAATCCCTTTCAGGACTAAAGTTTTGCAACATAGAAGGTTCATAAGCATGTATGAGCTTTATACAAGTTTTAAAAAATGGAACTGTAAAGTTTGTAATTTCTTACACAAGTAATATCGCACAGTAGCACAGATACTAAGATTAATGTCAAACATATGATGCATTCAATGTTGAGAAACATATTTCTCTCATAACTCTTATCGCTTTATAAAACGGTAGCAAAACCTTCCAAATTTCTTACTTGAATATTTGATTCTCTTTTCCCTATAACTATTACATTCACTAGTAAACAGAAAATCTGGTTAAGCGATTTTTCTCTTGCTGTTGTCGTTGCTACTGTTCGGACTATTTAACGTTAGGACCACCTTTCCGAGAAGTGGATGATTTTAAAGCTGTACATTACGTCAGTGGCAACGAAAAGGATTGGAACAAGTGGTAGTATAAATATTTTATAAAAATGAGCGAGTGCGGAACGATTGCATATACTTTTGAGTTCACATATATTGGATATATTAACACGTTTAGTAAAACGACAAGAGATAAGGTATATGACAATGTTGTGGAGTGATTTGGAGCCTTATTCGGGATAGAGACACTATTCGTGAAGTGCTCACGATTTGGCGTAAGGTGTGGCCATCATTGAGCCAAATGAGGTTAACAATCCCGAATCAGCGACTTCGATGGCGCACCCAGCAGAGCGGCACTAATACCCACAACAATACCACAAAAGGTGTTGATGAAAGAGCGATTTGTGGGGATTTTCTCAGAAAATCACGTATCATACTGCTTTTTTCTGGCAGAATGAACATTGATTATTGATATTTGGGCATCCGGTTCACACAAGGGAGTGCCTAAACTCCATCAAAATCACTACTTAACTGCATCTTGCTGGTCATAGCAAGTCTTCTTTACTTAGATCTCTAGATAATGGTGCTGCCACTTACCCAACATTTCAGCAATAATCATTACAGACAAGCGTCAGTACTGGTAGGTAAGAGCGGAGGCTGAAATTCTGAGAACAGCTTTCTTACAAGATTGAGGGAATTCCGTCATGATACATTCTTATACAGATTTCAGCATAAAACAATCAGATTTTTCGGAATGAGTGGCTTGGCCACCACATTGTAGATTGACCTTAACCCTTTCACGACCACTAATCACAGTGTGGTTGGTCATCACACTGAATTTAGTATTTATTTAGTAACCAGCTATCACTTCTGGGACGGCGTGTTATATTTATGAGATCTCCGTTCTATTCTTTGATTCACAAATGGGCCGAGCTCGAGAGATTTGAATAAATGGATTCGAAAACTAATTGAAGAATCGTGTACGAAAATGTGTGCACGACTAAATAGCATACTCCTGCTACGATGAAGCAACAGGTCGTATCTTTTGTCTTCAAGGGAAATGCGCTTAAATGTTAAGTAAACTTTCCTCACAATTCATGAATTCCTCCATTCGTTCGGTCCCATAACCGAGAAAAGAAAGTGTTCGGCCTCAGTGTAATTTCGGCTGCTAAGTGACAACTTCTATCAACATTTCTTAACGAGACGTTGATATGCACTCTGAGCATGGTTTTCTCTGATTTTCAGGATTACCGTTTAAGGATGTCCCCAGCTCTCCAGAACGATTGGTCTAAGACCTGTAACGAACGTGATGCTTGTAACTAATTCTAATGAACCTACGATTGTGAATCAGAGCACGATTATTAGTGTACCTTGCAAGAGGAAATCTTCATAAACACCTAGGAAAACAATGCCGTAAAATTGAGATCTTTCTCAAACACCAATGTGTGCGAAACCAGTTCTTACATCGGACTCGCGATTTTAATGTTTTCGAGCCGATAATCGCTTTGAGTGGTTAATTCGATAAGAAAAACTAGGTGGTTTTGATCAAAGAGGTATTTTAGGAAAATTGGTCGTACGATACTAACTTGACCAGCGATAATCTTATCAAAGTCGGAAGTGTAGTACAGGACCATGGAAGAGATTCAGCGATGAGATCTGCAGCAAATCTCATACATTTTGTTGGCAGCGTTTGTTTTCATACGATAATGGAATTGTAACAACAACTGTTGAACACATCAGATGAGATAATAGCATCAGGAAATGGCTCAATAGCTACTTTTTTCTGATCGGAAAATCTCATGTTCCACTCTAAACATCCGCGTCAAGGATTTCCTGGCAGTAGCGTCATTCGTGCAGAATGACGAAATATCAACACTGTTCTCAGGCATGACGTATTCTCTGTAACTGTCAGGTAGCCGATAAATGCGATTTCAAAGTGAAGGTGTGCCAATTCTCTGACCTTATCCATCACCTCGGTCTTTTGTTCACGAATAACAAAAATCTGCCTAGCCGGTCATGACCGACTTCGCGGTTCCGCTCGATTCGTTAGCACAAAATCGAGGTGGTGGACCACGAAACTGAACATATCTTCTGATCTGCTCGTAATATTTCTCCTAATGAAAAGAAAAGCACAAGAAACGGCAGAGTGAGGAGAATGAAAATGACTCCGACGAAGCGAATGAGTTTCACCGCGTTTATGCGGTGATTAAAGAATAATGGCTCTTGATTGGTTCTCAGTATGTAAACGTCATGCTACAAATTTTAAAGAACAAAGTGCTTTTGATTTGCAATTGATTGATAAGAAATATATTCCAACTTGAAATAGCGCTGTGAAAATAAGGGATAAAGGATAAAGCCTCTCGGCGTTAATCAATACCTGAGGTATTGTTCGTGCATTCGTCATCGATTTCTAACTACGTCGAGGTGATTGAATGCATATTTAGCCTTCACAGTGACTCGCGGTGGCTTCCTGCTGTACCTAGTCAGTGCTGCTTATCCTCCCAGAGAAATCTTAGACCAGTCTGGTAGCAATTTACCGACTCCGGAGGGATGGATGGCTTGGTGAGCCATGAGCGCGAGATCGAACTATCGACCTCGTTTGTGATACAGAAAACATGTAGCAAAATTTTTCACTATAAAATAAGAAATATTTCCTACCACCTAGTTTTCCATAATTAAATTGATTCCTTACAGCCAGTTCATGTACTTTGCAGATCGCTATGAAATAGTCTGCAATCTCAGCACTTAGCACTGTAGGCCAACAGCTGCCCACTTGTAAAAACGAATGACTGAAATACGCTTAGTAATCTCCTGATGTGCTACCAACTGTATGATTGAATTGCAAAAAAAAGGCCAGAGATGAAAAATGTTGCCTATTCCAAAAGCATTTGTCTTCAGACGGCACGTAGATTTCGCCATTAGTCATTTATACCCATCCCTATCATTTGCTTAACACTATTCTTGAATAGCTCGCATCTAAACATCCTATCTATTTTTTCAATATATATTCAATCCATTATTAAGTCTATTCTCTCTTAATGTTAGTTTTGAATTTTACTGCTACGATTATCTCTGCGTACTGATCCGTTATCACATTGCTCTTTATATTGCCTATTCCAAGGTCAGCTATTTTCTGCGGCATTGCTCAAATAACGCGAAATGTTATTGATAAGGAAATACGAGGTTCAGCGAAATTTCCAGTACAATTTTGGCCGAAACTTCAGCGGTTTCACCTTTTGAGAGTCAGAAAAACTGATGCGCAATCTACTCAGTTTACACTTCCATAACCTTAAAAGAATAAAGTTACATAAATTTTATCAGCAATTTTGACGATTAATTCAACATTTCGCTCGAGGACTGTCAATAGGAGCCGTCACAAATTTCAATCGTGCACTGCAATGTCTTCCTGCTCACAAAAATTTACTTCGTTGCTCGGTCTTATCTAACGATATTGATTTACATTATTCAAAAATGAAACGTCTCATCCCATATAAAATAGGACAAAGGATAAAGCTCTCGGCGTTGTTCAACCACTAAGGAATGCTTCATGCACTCGTCTTTAATTTTTAAGTTTGCTCGAGGCAACTGAATGCATATCTGGCCTTTACAATGACTCGTGGTTTGCTTACCGCTGTATCGATTTAGCGCTACTTATCCTCCCAGACAAGTCTGCGACCAGTGTGATTCCAACTTACCGACCCTGGAGAAATGGTTGACTTTTGGTAGGCTATGAGCACGAGATCGAATCACCGATCTCGTGTGCGACGCAGAGTATCTCTAACCACTGCGCCACATGCGCTCGACATCCCATATTAGGATGCTGAAAAAAAGTAGCTGCAATTTGAGCACTTTCAATGTTTATTTTCAATTTATTATGGTTTATGGAAAGGATGCCGAATGGTGCAAATGTAATTACGGTTTCAGACCGTAAAAATAGGTCATAAAGTAGCAGACAATTCGCAACATTGACAACGCATTTAACCCAAGAGCTGCCAACAAACGCACAATGAAGCGGTGGTTCAAGAAGTTCCACGAAGGAGACGAAAGCCTTGAAAGTAAGGAACGTGACGGCCGGCCAAGAGATGGTGAGAATGGCCAACTAAGAGCAATAATCGAAGCTCATCTTCTTGACGATACACGAGATGTTGCAAAAAAAAATTGTCCGTTGATCGTTTTACTGTCCTCGCTTTTTGAAATAAATTACAAAAGTAATTGCGATTTCCCTAAGCTTCAAACCGCAACTACTTTTGCACCACATCAATATACGAGTACTCACAAATGTCTCCACAAGGAAAGAAATATACATTTACACAAAGCCATACACAATCACGCATACCTATACATATGAGAATTGTACACATACACGCATTTATACAAAATTATAACGTAAATGTTGTATGTATATAGATTTCTTCACGCGCATACACACATGTACATACCTGCCGCAGATAGGCCAGGATTGAGCTTTCTTATTACAGATAAAACGAAATACGTAATTAGATAGATGGTAACGTAGGTTAAGGTAGAGTTAATTGAATGTTGAATGGACAAATTTTTGCTACTGTCTGTGTCGATCAGAGTTAACGCCATTTCCAATGTTTTTACTCAAAAATCCATAGACAAACATATATGCTCAATAGCGCTCAGTTATAACAACTGATTATACTGTGGC